GCCCGGGATCAGAGCAAGCCCCGCAAGCCCGTCCTGCAGGGGCCCGGGCAGCGCTCACAGACAGCTCTGGGGCAGCGGGCGCTCTAAACGGGGCGGGAAGGCGACCGGTGCAGGTGCCGATGCACAGGCCTGGGCTCTGCGCTCAAACGCGCCCACCTGTGCTCTCAAGATGAACGTGTCACTGTGAATTCTCCCTCAAATGTAAAAATACGCTGGCGTAGAAATCACAACACGAGCTGTGCGACAAGAAAGTCGAAGGCAATGTGTACTTTCTGACAGAAAACAGGAGGCCCTGGAGGAGCCCTGTCTTGCAGAAGGGCCCTGCCTCAGGCCCAGGCCTGGCCTCCTCCTTCCCAGGTGCCCCCATGTGGAAGACACGCCCACTCAGGTGTAGCCTAGCAACGGGTCTAGGAGCTTTGACCCTTAGCCCCGCCCACAATGCAATTCCTGGGCAGTTGGTAGTTTGTCTGAGGGCGCTGGACGCTCTGGGCAGAGAGAGCGACCAGGTCAGTCCTGTGACCAGAGGTGACGGCCTCCTGGTTTGGTGGCCTTGGCTCTGGCTAAGGCTGCTCCCTGGGGCCAGTGGGGGGCAGCGTGGCCTCCTTCACAGGACACATCTCTAACTTCACACAGGAGGTGCTGATGAAGGAACCCAAAAAAGAGGAAGAGACACCGGACTCTTAAGAGGAAGGAGGCTGAAGCCACGCAGGCAATTTCAAGAGCAGAGAATGAGAGACTTGAAACTCTAATGATCTAGAACAGGGGTGTGACCATCAGAGCTTCCAGCACACTGCTGCTTCCTGACATCAACTACACCACGAAGACTTGGAAGTAAGTGAAACTTCTGAAGGGAAGACAGACCGTGCTGAAGAGTGAGTGACTGCAGAAGCTGCAGCAGCCACTGGGTCAGGCAATCCTGGAGCTGGCCTAGTACAAAGTGCATCTGTGGAGGAAGCACTGACAGTCCAATGAGCACTGTCTGATGCTGAAACTAGAACGATGAGCTGGAGCAGCTTAAACCAGGAAAACAGTCTCACTGACAACGATCAAAACGCGGAGAAGCAGCGGCAGGAATTCAGCTCAGCACAGGGCAGTTCTGCAAAGCCAGCCAGGCTCTCCCAGGTCCGGTGGAGGTGACTTCACCACAGCCCCCCACCGGGTCAGCGACCACAGAGCGCAGTCTCTCTGAAGGCAGTGAAACCTGCTGAACTCAGTGATCTTCTCAGTTCCTCCCAGAGGGGCTTCAAGGGCTGAGAAAATCAATGTAGGGAAAGAAGCAACAGTTAGAACCCTGGAGAAAGGTCAGCAGAGTGTCTGGTCCCAGGGCTGCCACCTCCGAACCAGACAGAAAACAACGTGAGCAAACTGATTCAGAAATGAAGCCACTGACGGAGAAAACAGATGTTTTACAAAACCTACTTAAGGAAAAAGAGCTCTTACAGCAAAAAGAATTCCTTTCTTTAAGTAAAAATTTCACTAATAAAATGACTGAAAACGAACGTTCGAGACAAGCAGTAACCAATCTGACGGAGACTACTGAATTTTGAATGTGGAAACTCAAAGAGGAAAATGAAAAATTAGTAGAAACTTCATGGGAAAAGGAAACAGAAAGTCAAGCACTACAGGAGACCAATATGAGACTTTTTGTGGGTGGGGAAAAAAGGCTTGGAAAATATTGCAATGACAAGGCTGTCACTTTAGAGCAACCACTGAGAAGAAAATGAAAAGAACGGGGTGAGACGCGGAATGGCATCTGCTTTCAGAGGCAGGCGCATCATCCAGCAATAGACAGTTATGTTCCAACAGGAGGGAATGAAGCCACGTTGGCACTGGGACAGAAACAAATGGAAAACTGTGCCTTAGAGAAGGACAGTCACTATTACATGACAAAGAAATGCCCTTTAGCCAGGAACTGGAGCGATCCCTTCACCGAGCTTTAGGATCACAACATTCTCCTTTGCCACAAGCTTGGGCTGCAGAAGACGAAGCAGCTAATCTTAGAAGGAAAGTCAGGCTCATCTTCTAATGTAATGGAAAAGGCAAGCCACCGAGCCCGTCTGTAGGTAGAGTCTCTGCAGGAACAACTGAAGGTTGTCACAAGGAGGGAGACGGAAGTGCATGACAGCGTCCTGTCTCTCGGGAGCAAGGGAGCCGTGTGCGCACCCACCAGCTAACCTGGAGTTGGTACCAGCTGCATGGATGCCGAAGGCAGAGCCTAGACGGAAAGCGGGGTGTCACAAGAGTGTCTGGATACAGTGAATGTTGGCTTGGATCAGAAGGAAAGTAGCCCAGAAGGAAAAGTTGACAGTCAAATGAGAAACCTCTTTAGAGGATATTTTCCAACACTGACACATGAACGTCATGAACTGTTACAATTAATGGGAAGCACGCTGAGTGTCAGAAGCGAGGAAATGGAGTTGTTCACTTTAGAGCGAGGCGGTGTTACCAGGTGGACGGGCAGGTGGCTTGGATCAGAAAGTGTCCCCCCCCCCCCTCCCCCAGCTCTGAGACCAATGCAGCAGTCCATGCACAGGGTTCTTTTTTAGAACTTTTTGTTAAATATCGAGAAACAGAATCTCATTCAGCTTTTCGAGCAGTGAACACTCTGCTTGTGAATCAGCACGAAAGACAAAACGAGCTAAAAATGTGCCGCCGAGTCTTCAGCCTTCCTGAGGATCCACACCCAAAACACAGCTGTGTCTCCTATTCACCCACCACGACCTGCAACTGTGGGTCTGGGCATCTCCTTCTAAATGCCACTGCTAATGTTTTGCCCACATATTCACCTTTGCTACTGTCACCTGACCAGACAGCCAAGTTGTCCTGAAAGACCTTCCGAAGCCAAACAGATGCTTCTACAGTCACAGATAAGATGGCACGTTAAAGCAGTGGCCTTTCAAAAAAAGGTACACATTTGTTTTTGCAGTTTTACTTTGTTTAATAAAGACACTCTTACTACTTAAAAAAGAAAAATTGTTAGTGTCGTCATTAGTCAAATGAAGTGTTTCATTATAATTATACGCTTTAGAGTGTGAAAAGGAGCCCCAGATCATCCAATCTAATGTCCCTCCCAATACAGACATTGCCTCTCCAATAATTCAAAAACCACAAGAACTCCTATCATGATCTTTAAAACCGACTAGGCCCATAATCTTAAGGCTAGATGTCTCAGAGATAGGAGTAGATAAGGTACAAAGTACAAGTTTCCTTTCCTGAACCCAAATCATAATTACATGAAAAAACATGTAGCAAGCTAGGAAAGCAAAAAAATGTTGAAACTAAGTATATTAGGAGAAAACTTCAGAATACATTTCACCAACCAGTCCTAAAGTGAAACACAGCTAAACTAGGCAAGTAAATACTGAAATACCTTAAACTCTTTTTTTTTTAATTTAATTTTATTTATTTTTATTTATTTTTTTTTATCCTCACCCGAGGACATTTTTCCATTTTTTTGTTCAGGTAGAGTGGGAGGGAGAGAGAGGAACAGAGAGAGAAAGAGAAACATCGACGAGAAAGGGACCCATTGAGTGGTTGCCACCCACACAACTGACCAGGGCCGGGGACAAACTGCAACCGAGGTACGCGCCCTTAGCGGGAACCGAACCCGGGTCTCTCAGGACCGCAGGCTGATGCTCTAACCGCTGAGCCAAACCGGCCAGGGCTTAAACTCTTTTTTATTTGTTATCTTCAGGGAGAGAGGGAGGGAGAGAGAGAGAGAAACATTGATGTGAAAGGGACACATCGAGTGGCTGCCTGCCACACGACCCGACCAGCGCCGGGTATGAACTGCCACCGAGGTATGTGCCGTTGGCTGGAATCGAACCTGGGACTCATTGATCCGAGGGAACATGCTCTACCGCTGAGCCAAACCGGCCAGGGACAAACTCTTAAGCATTAAATAAAGACATACTAATGGGAACTACAAGAGAAACGATGCCCTAAAGGTCAAGGGAAGGCCTCCTACCTGAAACAAGGATCCAACTGAAGCTCCCAGATGTTAACACCAGGAACTACCTGCTTTGAAATAAATGCCCTTTCGATAGTATCTATTTTCCCGACAAAGCTATTTTAGACGCTTTCATTTAAAATATTATTAGAGCTTACAATGCATAGAACATTCACTTTGATTTATTCACAACGCCAGTGAAATGCTAAAGAAAAATAAAGTTCCGCCTGCAGGTGGAGTGGGAGGTGAGCAGGTCTGCCCACTGCTGACGGACCAGAGAAAAGCTAAGCAGAGACTAATGAACTTCACGTCTCAGCGCAAAGCCACCTTAACATGGCCCGTTTGAGGCCTACTTCAAATTAAAAGAAAAATCATTTTAGCTTGAAAAGGCAAAAAAGCCTTGGCTTCTCTATTTTTACACCATGACAACTAAAACTGGCTTCCACTAAAAACAGTTTCTGTTAAATTTATCACAAAACATGCTAATTTTATCAAAATCACACAAAAACATTAATCACTGTAAACGTGAAAACAGTTTTTCATAGTCTTCTTAACCAATGACCAGTGATCTCAAAATGGGACATTTAAAAGTTGCAAAGAGGCCCTGGCCGGTTTGGCTCAGTGGTTAGAGCGTGGGCCCGCGGACCAGGGAGACCGGGTTTAGTTCCCGCTAAGGGCACGTATGTCAGTTGCGGTTTGTCCCCGGCCCTGGCCTGGTCGTGTGGGAGGCAACCAGTCAATGTGGCTCTATCACATTGATGCTTCTCTCTGTCTCTCTTTCTCCTTCCTTCCCACTCTATATGATGATAAATAGAAAAGTATCCTCAGGTGAGGAATAAAAAAAAAAGTTGCAATGTGACTTTTACATTTTAAAAGGTGCTAAAGGAGACAAAGAGTAGAGTTATAATCTAAGGAACGCTTATTGGTTATTACCTTTTCTGATTTTTTCTCTTCTGTGTCACTACTGGATGTTCTTGTCCTGAGTCTCACAGAGCCTTCTTTAAAAATATCTCCAAATCCGACTCCTCGGATCTTCTTCGGCTGTGTCGCTGAGCCGGGGGCAGTCTCATTCCCGTTCCCCAGCGAGGGGAAAGGCGAGGTGGGCCCCGTCCAAACCGTTTCTGAAAGAATCATGTGTGAAGAAGGACACCTCACAGGAGGAAAGTCTTCACACTCCCCTTCCACAGTGTTTACATTGTGTACTTTTTTTTTTTTCATTTATCTTGAGATAGAGCGGGAGAAAGAGAGGGAAGAAGAGCGAGAGAGAAACGTCGATGTGAGAGAGACACATGAAGTGGTCGCCACCCACACAACCCCAACCGGGGCCGGGAACAAACTGCAACAGAGGTACGTGCCCTTAGTGGGAACCGAACCTGGGACTTTCTGGTCCGTGGGCCGATGCTCCAACCACTGAGCCAAACCAGCCAGGGCTACATTCTGTACTTCTTAACAGGAAATGTCAAATAAAAGTAATAAATGACAGTACTGACATATCCAAAAGAGTAAGGTGCACTTTATACTGATGTTTCTGGATGCTGTGTGAAACAACATCTTAGGTCTTTTTAATTAGTAAAATACCAATTAAGAAATCTAGAAAATCATATTATACAGGATCCTTACAACAGCAGCTTTGGACAAAGATGATATGAAATGTGAGACTGAAGCTTTAAAGAGATAAAGTTAATCAATTTAAAAGTATGATTCAATCTGATCAAAGTTAGGGTGAGTTTCCAAATATGAAAACTGGTAATATTGGCAAATTTTTATTTTAAAAAGCCATCAGTTCAAGAGCCGTCATCTTAACTCATGGATGAAATGACGTAAGTCTAAATCTAAAGCAGTCCGTGACATTTACATTATAATGGTATAAATTATCTTTAGAAATTGAACATTGCAGGGGTAAGAGAGGTTTCTCATCCCTGCACAGTAGAAAGGTTCTTACTCAGAGACCTCGATGAGTCTACAAAGAGCCCCATGGAAAATCGTGTGGGTATTTTTTCAGTTCACTTTTTTTTGGGGGGGGGATAAAATAAGCACAGCTCATAACAGATTCTCAAAGGGCCTTATAATCTAATAAATCAAGTTCTAGAGTAAATAAAAAAAAAATTCCAGGAACATTTCAGAGTGGGGGTGAGGAATGGGGAAAAATACATAATATCAATTCATTGAACTAAGAGTCTGTTGAAGTTTAACAGTAAGAATAACAACAGGTAATAATAAAAGCAGTGCTTGAAATGATGTCAGAGGAATGGCTGCATGAGCCATCCCCTTGGTCTTTTCTCTTGAAGCTTCAACAATTTGAATAGCTACTCAACAAAAGATCCCCTGCTCAGCCCAGCACCACGCCTGAGAGATCCGTGCACTGAAACATCTGAAGGTGGGCATGTGGGAACCAACGGGAGGCGAGAAGGGAGAGGGCTGAGGTGACACACGGATGCAGCCCTACAGCCCAGAGTCTCTGGGGGCTCAGCCCAGAGAGGGCAGGAGTCCGACTGTGGCTGGTGCTCCCTTCAGCTGGGGTGAGCAGACAGATTCGGGGAGCACTCCTGCAGCAGTGAGCAGCACTGCCCAGACACCTGAGCAAGGACACAGCATGGGGGTGCGGCCACTGTTGTGGCGCCGTGGGCATTCCAGGCAGAGAAGCAAAGCCACAAAGCCTGCTGCCCCACAGAGCTCCCCTCCCTTTGCCCTTGGTGTCGGGTTGCAGAGCACATTATCTGCAAACCTGAAATCTGATACCACAGAATCTCATTTTTCCCTGAGCAAAGGGTGCATGCACTCTGTGACCAGCCCTAGGGTCTGGGGCCCCGGGGGCAACCCGGGGAGGTCCAAGGTCGCCATTACCAGGAGAGCAAAACAACAAAGAAGCTGGCTGGTTCCTCCAGCCTACTCCACCCCCACGCATCTTGGTTACACAGATGGCAGTGTCTGGCAAAGAGAGCACACAATTCACAGAGCTAAAAAACTTGTGATTCAACACCACCTACTGGAAAAGAATAAAAAGACCTCTTTGTATTAATGTGCTAGACAGAGAAGGAATCCATCAAATACCAAGAATAATCAAGGTAGCAAGGCAGGTCAGAAAGAAAATAAATCTCCAGAAAACACATTTAAAGACATGGAAATATGAGATATAAAGGACAGAATTCAAGGTCACAATTCTGAAAATACTGAATGAGGTGCGAGAACATACAGACAAGCAATTTAATGTGTTCAGAAAACAAATTAATGAACAAAACAAGTACTTTACCAAAGAGACTAAAACTTTAAAAAATAACCAAACAGAAATAGTGGAGATGAATAACTCAATAAAAGAGATCAAGAATGAACTAGTGAGCATGGGAAATAGAACAAAGAAGATGGAGGAAAGAATTAGTGATATCAAAGATAGAAATCTAAAAATGATGCAGAGGGAAGAAGAGAGAGAACCGAGCATTTACAAAAAAAGAAAGAGCCCTGGCTGGTTTTTCTCAGTGGTTAGAGCATCAGCCTGCAGACCAAAGAATCATGGGTTCAATTCCAGTCAAAGGCATGTACCTTGGTTGTAGTTTGTCCCAAGCCCTGGTCGGAGTTGTGCAGAAGGCAATCAGTTGATGTGTCCCTCTTAGGTAGATGTTTCTCTCTCTCTCCCTCCCTCCCACTCTATCTGAAGATAAATGGAAAAATATCCTTGCATGAGGATTTAAAAAAAGAAAGAAAGAAAGAGCTCTATAAGAACTATCTGTTTCCATCAGAAAGAGCAATATAAGAATAATAGGCATACCAGAAGAAGAAAAGAGAGAAAAAGGAACAGAATGCCTACTCACACAAACAGTGGATGAGAATTTCTCAAACCTATGGAAAGAACTAGATCCTTGAATCTAATAAGTAAACAGAACACATAGTTACCTCAATCCAAAGAGGTCCTCTCCAAAGTACATTGTAATAAAACTATAAAAAATTAATGACAAAGAAAGAATTCTCAAGGCAGCAAGAGAAAAGAAGGAAGTGACCTACAAAGGAAAACCCATCAGGTTATCTATCACTGGACTTATCAGCAGAAATTCTACAAGCCAGAAGAGAGTGGAACCAAATATTCAAAGGTCTGAAAGAGAGAAATTTACCAGCCACGAATAATATACCCAGCAAAATTATCCTTTAAATGCAAAAGAGAAATAAAGACTTTTCCAGACATACAGAAGCTGAGGGAATTTATCACCAGAAAACCTCCATTGCAGGAAATGGTCAAGGGGGTTATTCTACCTGAAACAAAGAACAAAAAGTCACACTATGGATGAGATCACCCACAGACTTACAGCATAAACAGGGATAATTTGTAACAACAAAAACATAAAAGGGGTGGGGGTAGAGGTCTGAATTTACAAAGGAAGATGGAAGCCAGATGCATTCAAAAGAAAAAGGACTTACATGAAACTTTCTTTTTCATAAATCTAATGGTAACCACACAACAATCCCAAAACTGAGACACTTAGCATAGAAAAGAGAAAATAGAGGAGAGAAGTATGAAATACCATCAAATAAAAACAACAGACAGAAACACAAAGGAAAAGAACCAATGGAGGCACAGAGCTATCAGAAAACAAAAGATAAAATGGCTACAGAAAATCCTCATACATCAATAATTATCCTAAATGTAAATGAACTGAATTCATTAATAAAGGGGCACAGAGTAGCAGATTGGATTTTTTAAAAAGTCAACCATATGCTTTCTTCAGGAGACACATCTAAGCTGCAAAAAACAAAGGTAGATTCAAAGTGAAAGGGTGGAAAATGATTCTCCAGGCAGACAACATCCACAGAAAAGCAGGTAGAGCCATACTTATATCTGAAAAAACAGATTTAAAGATAACAAATGTAACAAGAGACAAAGATGGACATTTTATAATAATAAATCAAGGAGCACTGAAATATGTAAAAGCAACTACTAACACAATTAAAGGGAGAAACAGACCAAAACACAGTTATAGTTGGGGACCTTAATAATCCATCAACAGCTCTTGACAGATCATCTAAACATAAAATCAACAAAGAAATATTGGCCTAGCCCTGGTCAGTTTGGCTCAGTGATTGAGCATCAGCCTACACAGCAGAGTCCCAGGTTTGGTTTCCGCTAGAGGCACGTACATCGGTAGCAGTTTGTCCCCGGTCCCAGTTGGGGTCATGTGGGTGGCAACCAGTCGATGTGTCTTTCTCATGTTGATGTTTCTCTCTCTCTTTTTCTCTCTCTCCCTCCTGCTTTATCTGAAGATAAACACACACTCAAAAAAAGAAATATTGGCCTTAAATGACACATTAGACCAAATAAAAATAATTGACATCTACAGAGTCTTTCATCCCAGAACATCAGATTATACACTCTTCTCCAGGGCACATGAAACTTTCTCAATAATACACCATATGTTGGGTCAGAAAATTGGTCTCAACAAATTCAAGAAGACTGAAATCATACCAAGCATATTCTCTGACAACTACCATAATGCTTTGAAATTAGAAATCAACTACAAAGGGGAAGTAAAGAAACTCATAAATATGTGGAGATTAAATAACATACTACTAAAAACTGAATGGATCAAAGAAGAAATAAAAGGTGAGACTAAATGATATAGAGAGACAAATGAGAATGACCATACGACATATCAAAACTTCTGGGACATAGCTATAGCAGTAATAAGAGGAAAGTTGATGGCATTGCAGGCCTGTCTCAAGAAACAAGAGACTAATCATCAGAGAGATGCGATTTAAAACAACTATGAGATATCACCTCACACTTGCCAGAATGGCTGCCACCAACAAATTATCAAACAACAAGTGCTGGCGAGGGTGTGGAGAAAAGGGGACGCTAGTACACTGCTGATGGGAATGCAGACTGGTGCAGCCACTATGAAAAACAATATGGTGCTACCTCAAAAAATTAAAAATTGAACTGCCAGACTTTCAGTCATGATGGTGGAGTAGGTAAACACGGTATTGCCTCCTCTAACAACCACATCAAAATTACAACTACAGAACAATCACTATTCAGAACCACCTGACATGGAGCTGAATGGAAGTCCTACAACTACGAAATTAAAGAAGCAGCCACATTGAGACTGGTAGGAGGGGCCGAGGTGCAGAGGGGCTG